TCCTTCCCTGATGGGTACTCATAAATCATACTTATTTGCCTCAGCTCTTTGCACATCAAGCCAAGGAGAGTTGAAGTCTGCGCGCGTCAGGCATATTGTTAAATATGAGTATGATAGATACCTCTTGCTTAAGGGTGGATATGACATTCGAGGGCATTTTAATAAGTATGAATACATATAGGTAGAACAAATTACGGACGGTGAGTGGGATATACTCTGTTTGATTGTACTCGCTGCGCTTCTCTGGTACACATGTTAAACAGTAAGAACCAAATTAGGCGTTCCAACAACCGACGGCGTCTCACACTGGGGCCGCCCCATATAAGCGGGTGCTCAAAATTCTGAAATCATTTTCTTTCCATTAGACTCGCTTGAACTAATTTTTAAGAGTAAATTTTTGACATCTTAACCCATTATTGTTCATGCATTAACCCATTGGTGACCCAGTTGTAATGTCTTATGTTAAGTTAATTTGATTTTATTATTGTGCAAATTATGAATAATTTAACCCATTTACGAATTTGACTGAACGCATTGATGACCATATTTTAACCCGATAGTGGGCAATTTTTTATAGAGTCTTTCCCCAGCTAATTTTATTAAAAATAGGTAAGTTTAGGTTACAATATAATCAGGAAGAACAAGTCCTTTCGATTTGAGGATAGATTTTTCAACGAACTAAGTTATTAGCGATAAAATGTAATAAATATATATAATCACTAGGAAAGAGCATGAAACAGGTGAAGTCATTTATATAGAGATCAGTTAGATAGTAAAAGATAGGAAATACTAGATACAAAAATTTAAGTTTAAATGTAAAACAAATAAAAATAAAAATGAAAACAAAAATAATTGCAGCTCTCCGAAAACACTTTTTAGAAAAATTTGTCAAAAAAGTCGAAATTATTTTTAGTTTCGTCTTTGATTCGACTATGAATAAGCCCTATTATGTTTTAAATTTAAAGATATTTACAAATTAAGCATACAAAATATCGAATAGCAAGTAATGTATCTAATTAAAAGCATTCAATAATTAAAAAATGAGCTAAATTTTTATTAAAAAAATACAAATAAAATATAAATAAAATAAATAGTCAAAACTTTTCAATATGTGGGTGTCTTATAGTTATGATAAGCACTATTAAAAGGATTTTGAGTATGCAGTTTTGTAACCCATTAAGTCATAGTACATCAAAGTGCAAGTTTAAAGTAGCTAGGACTTACATATTTCCATACGAAGTATGTTCGACGATTTTTAATATGGAGGAAATGAGCGACACCTTCATCAAAAAACTTGCCAAAAATCAACAGTATGTCCTAGTTACTTCAAACTTGCACTCAAAATCTTTTTTAAATATATAATTAAAAACATCGATATTTTTTACGAAGTTTGAAACTTAGATTTATTCAATTTTTGTTAAGAAATAAACTATATTTTTATAGAAAAAAATAATTAAAATTAAATAGCTATAAAAAAAATGGTCAAAACTTGTCAATAAGTGAGTGTTTTTTAGTTATGATAAGCACTATGTAATGAAAAATGCGACATTTATTCCTCATAGTCGGAATCTAAATCCCCTTCAAGCCCCGTTAAACTAATATAATTCGCTTAAAGTTCTACTGACACCATTGCTTCAGCAAAGAAGGATCTCCGGTTGGTGACCACTGACAACAAGTGCGAGCAAGTAATCAGAGGGTCTAATGAAACTATAAATCTATTAAGGCCCCTTTACATACAACTTTGGCGTTGCTTTGGCGTTGGCGTCGCTTCGACAGCTGACTATGAATACATGCATTTATATGAAAGTCTCCACATAACCAAAGTTGGGCCACGCCAACGCCAATACATCGCAGAAAGATGGCCAACTCTCAACTATTTGCGCGCGTTGACAAACAGCTGATACACAATTTTCATTGAACGTGGGTGAACAACATTTTTCCAGCTTTTGTAAGAATTTGGCTGAAATCAATTAGAATTAAAGATATACCCCAAAAAAACATTGCGTATTAAATTTAAAATAAGGTAAGTAAAAATTCTAAAATGCAATCCACGTTGGAGTAGTAGTGCACTTGGGCAGGAGCTGCCCAAAAAATTCATCTAAAAGATGATCATCATCGGCGCCAATAGTTGCGTTCCAGATGCTTCACGATTTGCAGATTTTTACAGGAAGCTGTTCCAGGTGACCACCTGTCATAAGGTTTATTAATGGAGAAAACAGCTTTTCCTGCAAATCTGGAACGCAACTAATAACAATAATTCGAAAGCGGAAATAAAAACACTTCCACTTTGTGTACCTTCTTTTGATGAATTTCAGGCAAAGGCCGCCTATGCAGAGATCCATCCGCCCCTCTTCTCCGGCAACACAGAGAAGAGAATTCTACTTAGTAAGGGTTATAGTCCCTAAGCGCGGCCGAAGTCCGCCACCAAAAAAAGGAGTTGGACGCAGGTGTCGTCCGGGAACAGCTTCCTATAAATTCCTGCAAATCGTGAAGTACCTGGAACATTATTGGCGTCGTTTGATACCCCTCTTGACTTTTTTTGGATGAATTTTGGGCAGGTTCCGCTTAAGTGCACTTTTACCCACGTTGGTATTTAAGTTCAATATTTACAATATATTTATATATTTACAGAAAATATGGAGGAGAAGTTAATAGAGGCGGTCAGGACACAGCTGCCTTTACGATAAAAGCTCCCACCTTTTCCGCAATAAATTATTAAAAGAAAAGGCTTGGGATGACGTTGCATGCGCTGTGGGAGTACCTGGTATGTAATTGTATATATGTATATGTATATAAATATATAAAAAAATTTATTTAATTCTTCCAATAGTGACTAACTGCCAAACTAGGTGAAAGTCTCTCAGGGACCGTTTCGTCCGGGAGACAGGCTTACAGAAGAAGAAGTCGGGATCTGGTGCAGAAGATGGAGCCACATGGCAATATTTGGAAGCCATGGATTTTATGCGAGACTTCGTTGCTCCTCGAAAGTAAGTTAACTAAAAAATAAAATGTCGGTCATACCAATAGCATCCCAATTTCAAAGTGATATTTGTTTGCCACTCATGCTTATTATTATCGCACTATAATTTAAAGGGCTATCAAACTGTGTACTCAAACAAATTCTAACAATTCTGAGAAAGAAGTTTGAAATTTGCGTGAAAATTCGTTGCATTTTTTGTCGTTTTCTACCATGATACATATATTTAAATTTTGTTAGTATTATTATTATTTATTTATTTAAATATTTTATTTATTTATTTTTGGATCATGGTTTTCTACAAAGTTTTAAACATGGGTTTATATGGGTTTTGTTAGAAATAGAACTCTATTTTAATTGAAAATTCCTATATCGACTGCTGAGTGGAAGATCGACCTATCGCGACAGCCAGTTCGAAAACGCCCTATCTCAAAATACTTTTCAAGAACGCCCTATTTCAGAGTTTTATTGAAAAACACGCTATCTCAGAATTCGGTTCAAAAACGCCCTATCNTCCATTTATAAAAGCGTTGTATATTAAAAAGTTTTTTTTATATTATTTATTTTCTACTTTTTAGTCCTGTCTGAATAAAATTTTGCAATAGATATTAAAATAATTCAACGATATTAATAGAAAGGTGCACACACATGCATTTACATATGTATGTACATACAAACGAGCACCAATTAATTTTATTTAAAGAAATGGCGTGTCGTTTATTTCCGCTGTAGCAAACGTAGTACATAGGGCGACATCTAGATGTCATCTACCTCTCCCTATTCACTACAGATGTCGCCCTATGCACTATGTTTTTTTATAGGAACTTTTCAAAGCAAAGCTTTATGGTGTCGGACACACAACATTGAAAGTTTCTGGATCCACAACATTGAAAGTTTCTGGACACACAACATTGCAAGTTGATAAAAGCGTTGTAATAAACCTTAAACATAAAATTTATCAAAATGTTGGTTGGCTTAATTAGCTGATCACAAATGTATGGGTGTGTTCAGAAATGCATCAAGCCAAAGCATCACACGCATTTATTTCTAAACTATTATTTATGGAAATGTGTTGTTTACGCAACTAGGGTCCAATTAGGCATTTAACTGTGGTTGCGCATATTGGACATTTCCATCAATTATAGTTTAGAAATAAATGCATTTGATGCTTTGGCTTGATGCATTTCTGAACACGCCCCATTTATATTTCGTTTCTTGTTTCTTGAAGTTCTTTTACTTTTCATTAATTTATGTTTATTAAATTCGATAATTGTTCTTTAATAATCAGGGTATTCTTGTGAACTACCCTGTAGTAAATAAAAGACTGAATAATTTTTATAAAATAACATATATGTACATACACACTTGTGGTCAGCTGATTAAGCTAAGTGACATTTTGACTTTTACGAAGTTTCAAATATGGATTTATATGATGGTGGTGGTTATGCTATGTGCAAGGCTTTTATAAAAAAATATAAACATTAGACAAACATTATTATAAACAAATAGACAAAAGAAAAACTGGTAAAAATGTCACTTAACTCAATCAGCTGATCACAAGGGTATGTATTCTGAGGAAGGGCGTTTTCGAACTAACTGCCAAGATAAGTCAATCTTCCACTCAGCCATCGATATGTGCCTATAATTAAAGACTGAATGGATATAATACATACATATGCACATAAATAAAATAAAATATATGTACTTGCATACATACATATATACAAGCATATCCCATTGCATAAAAAATATTGTTTTATTTAAACAAGGAATATGAATGAGTAAAGCTCTAATAAAGCTTTAATGGGCTACAAAGCTGCATACTCAAAATCTTTCTAGAAAACATAATAAAAACGTTTCAAGTTTGTATGGAATTTTATTGAATTATCCTGAGTTGTGCACAAAGTTTAGAAGTGTAATATTTCTGACTTTTGTTGTAGCATGAGTATATTTTTATACAATATTAGCATAAGCATAAAAAACTTTGCATTCATTCCGAAAAATTCTCTGTACGTAGAATTTTGTCGCCGAGTGTGTGTTAAACATTTCAAACAAGATACGTACAATGCAATTAAATACAACAGAAGTATTAGTAGTTAAGTTTAAGCCAGAGCTATGCAACATGTGCGGACTTGATTGTGGATTTAGCGGTAATGATGGCCAGCCGATGGATGTGGAACGCAACCCGCTATCGTGGGGCGACTGGGGACTGGTGTGAGCCGCCAGTACCTGCGCCATATACACTGCCAGGACCACTGTCTCTTAACTTTGTGAGCGACCACGATAAACAGCATTTCATCGACATGTCTCAAAGAAAGCCCTCCAAAGGAAAATGGAAATGTTTAATGCAAGAAATACATATACATGGCGTTCAAATAATAGCAGCAAAATCAAAATGATGCTGTTGGCAACTTATCTTTATTTATTTATTGTTAATAATTTTCAAAGTTGACAACAAAATTTCAAACTTTTTAATGAGAATCTTTAGAAAATTTAGAAGTTTTGTAGCCCATTCAATTTTAGTATAATAAAGTGCAAGTTTCAAGTCGCAAAAAATTACCGTTGATTTTTGAGAATTTTTCTTGTGGAGGGTGTTGCGCATTTCTGCCATATAAAAGTAATTTTTGTTCATGCGTTATACGGAAGAAAATGAGCAACACCCTCCACAAGAAAAATTCTCAAAAATCAACGGTAATTTTTTGCGACTTGAAACTTGCACTTTATTATACTAAAATTGAATGGGCTACAAAACTTCTAAATTTTCTAAAGATTCTCATTAAAAAGTTTGAAATTTTGTTGTCAACTTTGAAAATTATTAACAATAAATAAATAAAGATAAGTTGCCAACAGCATCATTTTGATTTTGCTGCTATTATTTGAACGCCATGTATATGTATTTCTTGCATTAAACATTTCCATTTTCCTTTGGAGGGCTTTCTTTGAGACATGTCGATGAAATGCTGTTTATCGTGGTCGCTCACAAAGTTAAGAGACAGTGGTCCTGGCAGTGTATATGGCGCAGGTACTGGCGGCTCA